TATGCTGGACCTTGGTCAAAAATATTACCAGTACAAACAGAATGAATGGTTGATGGATCACTCAGTTTCCAATAACCAATGAAAAATACCTTAGTATTTTTCCTTAATTTGGCGAAGTCCCCTTTCTTGATTAGAGCTGGCAACTGTAGAGATAAAAGGACATCTGAAATATTGTCCCTGATAAATCTTCTGATGAAATGTGTTTCCAAAGGCTTGAACTTGCCATTTTCTGTAAAAGCTGTGACTGCTTGGAAGGGCTGGCTGATTTTAGGAGAGATTGTAAGATGTCTTGCTCCTACTACACTGATGATTGAACCGATCTGAAAACAGTACTGGAGTCATCCCAGTTTACAGCTCAGCATTTTAAGGAAATGTGAGTTTGGTGCCCATTTGTCTTAAACCACTATCAACAAAGGTAACAGAGGAGCTGCTTAAGAAGCAGCATCTCCATCTGTGTTGTGGAGGAGGAGCTGACAGCCAGATGCAGTATCTTCCCATAGGGCAGGTCACCCTCATTGTGAATTGGATCCATAAGCTACAGGTGCTGGACTGGTTTTGTACTATTTATGGAGGTCTAAGATTCAAAGGTTCAGTGCGTCACACTTTGGGAACATTTCCCCTAGCCTGAAAGTTACAATCTGCAATTAAAAAAAAAAAAAAAAGTGTGAGAATTCTAATCTTTCATTGCCTCAGACTCATTTACTCCTTAAGGATGGGAAGACTATTTGCATATGCATTGACTAAATGGAATGCATTTGTTGTTTCAGATGCATTCATGGTGAATTGTTATAATTTAATCTAGGCTGTGCAGGGTCCTGGGGGGAAACAACCAAATGCAATATATATCTGCATCATTAAAAATAATTTAACTGTGATGACAGCTGGAAAATAACCGTACAAGTGATTTCAGGGTGTTCCATATTTATTCCCTGGTAATGATAAATGGTTGTTGGTTTTCTCAGTTTACAAGTCAAAAGGCAGGTTTTTAGCACATCAGCCTTCAGTCAGGGATCTGTAAATCAAGTAAATTGAGCAGATACCTGCCTAACATTTGATCCTTGTTACCACAAATTCAAGCTTCTCACATTCATTACTTCATTTAATCCCCAGAAGTCCCCTTAAGGTACATAAATAATTTCTCTTTATTAGCAGTGTATAACTGAAGTGTAGGGCAGGCTGAAAATAACTTTACAGAAACTAGCTTTAAAGAAAGAACTTTTAGGTAATCTGCAAGTTTTAATCTCTGAAGCTAGCTGAATATTTTTCATGTTACTCTAGGCTATTTCTTCATTGATAAACTGCCTGTGACTGAATTGGCCATGTCTCCTGGGACCAAGCATGGTTTGTTATCCTTAGTAACACAGGGAGTTAACAGGTACAATGACAAAGTGACATTTTTATATTAAAACAGAATTCTAAGTGGAATTTTGTTAAAACACCATCCTGTTGTGGTATTTGGGGTATATGGTAGGGGTTAATGGCTGAAAAGTTTATAGGTTTATTGATCACATGTAATCCCTAAATGTTTTTTGAACTACATGTAGGAATCACTTAAGCTGTTGCTGGAAAACAACTACATGTGAGCTGGAAAGCAGCAGCTGTCAAAGATCTGAGAGCACTATTACTTGACAGTTGAGAGGGAAAAGCAAAAGAGGTCTCTTTCCCATGCCAAATGCTCTTGTGGCTGAAATCTAGTTACCCACTGAAGTGCGGTGGCAACTTAAAGAAGAAGGGCCTCATTGGAAAAGGAAAACTAAAAGTCATATTATTAAGGAAAGAGATGTAAAAATGAAATTACCACTGTTTGTCTTTGTTTTATATGTACTTTTCCCTGGTGCTCAGTGTAACGAAGCCCTCAGTAGGGCTATCAAAAGTTTATATATAAAATAGAGGTGCTATCCTCTTCATCGGTTTCTGTATTTGCATGTGTGCTGACCCTTTTGTTCTTTCCTTCTGATGTAAGACAAAGTCAAGGTATGAGACAGATAAAGATAAATGGACATATGCAGTAGGATTATCACAGGATTTTTAGATAAATTGGCCAGTAGGACAGCTCTGCAGTGCTGTTTTCTGAATGGACTGTTTTTCTGGTAAAAGAGGTGTTAAGCCTTGTCTAGCAAGACCAAGACTTTACAGTCATTTAGAGGTGGATAAATAAGGGGCTTGAAGACCAAGGTCAAGCCTGCATCATGATACTTTCAAAGGCTGAACTCTAGGACATGATCAGAAAAATAATTAACAAGAATTGGCTGTCCTAAATATGTTGTTTTGGTCAGTCTCTGAATGCCACCAATAGTTTGCTTAATTACAGGGAAAGACAGTGATAAAAACTTGGTAGACCCACCAGATTCTTCAGTAAATGTAATTGCTATTGTGAAATACAGGAGGCCTTGTCATGGACAAGACTCTGTAGGGTACAAAACCAGAATAAACACATGATGTATATCCCAGTGGGCTTGCAGACAGCACAGCTGTGATGTTTGCCCACTAAATAATCATTGAGGAAAAAATTATAAAGCATTGATTTATCTGTAAGCAAGAGTACTACCCAGAATTTTATTTATCTCAGGAACCCTTTAGTCACTCCTGATTCAATCAAATGCTAGAAAATACGCTTTTGCTCTCCTGTCAAGGTAACTTATTGTATTAGATATTTCCCAAAGTATCAAGAGAATTACATATGTATGAGTCTCCAGGAAAGCCTTTGAAGGAAGGATACTAGTGTTCTTGTTCTTGAAAGAATATTCTCATATTGCCACCAGATATTAGTCTTATTGCCATTTTTCTTTCCCTGCTATGGAGTTTTGTGGGCATTACTCATCTCCAGCCGTGTATCGGCTTCTGTAGGGCGCTTTAACTTGCATTCGCCTCCTTGAAATGCTCTAATCATTGCAATGGATTCCTGTGGCAGAAGCCTGACAGGGGTCACTTTCAGGTTAAAATTGGGTTTGCTGTGGGCCTGGCGCGTGGGAAATGGGGCAGTGAAGTAATTGTTGCGGTGGGCCTTCACTGATCCCTCTGATCAGTGGGAATGCTCAAGCTGGTTATGCTGGATTTTGGGCAATTTTGTGAAGCTCCCTTCCTGGACTGGCATGTGGGATTGTACTTAAACATAATGGTAATGCACAATTGTGGTTTATTGCATTTCCTTCAGATTGCTGTGGAGTCTACTGAATATTGGTATTTCTTAATAAACAGCTTGAATTTATTTTTATAGTTTAAGATATTCAGAGTCTGTGTGTTAGAACTTCTTTCTTCCCATGTTTTCTCTCCTTTAGAAAGGTAGTGTTCAGAAGTGTGAGAAAAGTCACAAAGGAAATGACTTCAAGGGGTATATCTTAATTTCTGAAATATTGGTTTAAAGCTTGCTTCCTGCGTAGGAACAATTGTATTTTTTATTAGCAGTTTCTCACCGCATTCTAGACCCGGATGTGGATGTGAAACAGCAACGAAATCAAATAATCTCACAGTCAGAGCAACACAGTTGAAATGGTGATTTGCAATGTAAGAGATTTGTCTAAATCTTCAGGTTTTCATTCATTTTCTGTGATCCAGAAAGCTGGGACTCAGTTACCGTACACTGAGATTAAGTTTATTGTCTCAATGAAACAGGGGCTGTAAAGCCAAAGATTATGTTTGTGTGGCTGGTATGTAACTCTCTGTGGAGGCAGCTCAAATAGAGGAAACAGTAAGAAGAAGTACTTTCTGGATTTGAATTTTTCTTTTTGACAATCTTTCAGTAGTAATATAGCAGGATTTAATCACTGTCAATTACAGATCTTAATTAAATGCTAGTAAACATCTATTACTGTGATAGTGGAATAGAAGTAGCTGCCTGATGATTTAAGGGCTATTTGTATGAGTAAGTGCTCCTGAATAAACATAAAATATTTCTTATTTTTTCTGAGATTAAAATAAGACCATAAGAAATGCATGGAAGACATTTTATTTTTGAGGATCTTGCTTTTGTTGTAGATTGGCTTCATTTATTTGCAGTTAATAATGTTTGCAACGTTACATGTTCAACTGCAGGGATATTTTGTGTAGTTTGTGGATGGCATGTTCAAAATAGAAATTTATGGAAACAAAAAAAATTTAAAAGTAGATCACTAATAATTTATGCATGTAAATAATCCGTTGTAGGTACCATCAGTTAAATTGCATGTGCACATTAAAAATCCTCATTTGAAAACAAGCTTCTTAATATTCAGTTTATATTTATGTCAAAATCTGTTGAGACATACAATAGTTTTATGATAATTAACAATGGGAAAACCGTGGAAGTCTTGAAGTTTGATTTAGATAAGTACCAGAAATAATGGATGTTTACCCATCCTACACATGTAGCATTTATTTTTTTTTTGCAAAATTTCTGCTTCTTTAGGCCTTGAGGGAACCTAAACTGGTATTGTAATTCTACATTTGGTTCCCATTAGACTCCACAAGAACAGAGAAAAAATGAGAAGAAAATTGCTTATTCATTTTTGAGTTTCCTCACAGAAGTGTAGTTAGGGTTTTTTTCTCTTTTTTTCTCTCTGCTTTCCTCATTATAGTGGTAGCTACAAAGCTGGAAGAGTTCTGTGCATGTGACTTATTACTAAAGTGGTTCAGATCTGGATCATGTGAATCTTCTAGGTCTCTTTTTTTGTGCAAATTGCATGAATCTTCAGAGCTTTCTTATTCTAATCTGTGATGTTAGTAAGGTTCCACTGCAGGCTTAATGACGGATGCCTTGGAGACCTGTGCTACTAATTATGCTCTGAATTTTTTCTCAGACTGTCTGGCTCTTTGTGGTAGGTTAGGAACTTGATGGCCAGCATCAAGCATTACTGACTGTACTGAAATAAGAAGCTGCTTACTGCATGACATGAAAAAGCTGTGCTTTGCAGTGTTCGTGTGATGATGCTAAGCAGGTTTGGAGCCAGAACGCAGCTGAACTTGGCAGTTCCTTTGTTAAGCTATTTTTAATCGATCCCCCTGCAATGTTTTCTCGATGCTAGAATTCTGCCAAACATCTGGCTGGGAAGTTGCCCTCGGCAGCTGGAGCACGTGACTGTCAAGCTGAAGCACGAGCTGGGTGTTACGGCTGTGATGAACTTCCAGACCGAGTGGGACATTGTTCAGAATTCCTGGGGCTGCAACCGCTACCCTGAACCCATGAGCCCCGAAACCCTCATGAAGCTGTATAAAGAGGAAGGTCTTGCTTATGTCTGGATGCCAACGCCAGACATGAGCACTGAAGGTAACAATCAATTATCTTGCAGATAAATGAATAATAACAAACGTTCTGAGTCACTAATCCATCACTCATTACTGGATTATTTTTTATTTTCTGCGTAAATTTTGCGTAAAAATATAGCCAATGCACAAGGTGTAATTTCTGTGTATGTGTTGTCTCTAAGAAATGAGTCATCTTTTTTGTGGGCGGAAAGGCCATCTAAAGGACTTTGTGTCTGGCAGTATATGTGTATTTGAGTTTAAAGCCAGCTGACATTGATACCCGCTTGACTCTTTTTGCTTTCAGCTTCAATTCAGGCGTATAATGAAAATATGCTGTGGAGGTGGAAGACTGTAAACTCGCACAGCAGGACAAGTTGCCATCCTTGCTGGTTAAAAATGGAGAGACAGTGCTGTATGCCCATCTCTGCTAGTCCCTTCCCCCAGCAAATCATTTTTCTTTAACTGTAGTATTCAAGTCTGATGCTGGGATAAATGATCTCAGTAGAGTAATTTATATAATTATTTGTAATTAATTTGGAATGCCCATAGCACTTCATGTCATGACATAAATTATTATTTTTATTTCTCTGTTGGAATGCTGAGTTCAAAATCTTATTTTGAACCAGTAGATTAGAAAGTGTCTGTAGTTTTGAGTGAGTTGCCTACCAGGAGAGCGCTTTCAGTAGAGTGAGATGCTGCTGCCCACGAATGGAGAACTGTCGTATCAGTTAACAGAACATCAGGGAAGATAGGAGACCTTAAAACAGGGATTTGAAAGGGCTTAATGTCAGTGCTCATCTGTGCCATGCAGAAAAGTTAGGCTCTGATGTTTGCAGCTTCAGTTCCCAGGGTAACAGGGAGAAAGGCATCAGGAAATATGCAATAGTCATCCCTTTGGGAGTGAGAATGACTGTTCTGTCTTGTTTAACCATATGCTTAGCAGACAATGAAATCATTACAGTATTAAGTTGTACAGGAAAATACTCTTCTGTTCTCCCTCCCTTATTCTTGACATAATGGCCTTCATTACATTTTGGAAAGCAGCAGTAGATAGATAGCTTCACAGACCTCTGGTACTAAAAAACATTGCACTTTTGGCGTGCTAACTTTAACGCTATCTAAGATGTACCGTTTGAGGTAACGTTCTGCCTTATCTCAGTCTCTGTGAAAATTAATATGCCACACATGTTCAGTGTTAATCAGAATGTATATTTAGAGAAGACTTGGGACATTTTACAGATTTTGTGTGATCTGAATCTATGTAGCTGGAAGAAACCAAGGTTAGGGTAGAAGGTCATTTGAAAAAACAAAAACAAGAAAAAAACCAAAATATGTCAGATTTGCCATTATGATTCACAGTGCATCGGGCTTCACAGACATAATCTCAACCCTGAACCCAGCTTTCTCAAATGCAAATGAACGTGTCTCGTTTTTAACCTTAGGGAGAATACAGATGTTGCCACAAGCTGTCTGCCTCTTGCACGGGCTACTGGAGAATGGACACACGGTCTACGTTCATTGCAACGCCGGCGTTGGCAGGTCTACAGCTGCTGTCAGTGGCTGGCTGAAGTACGTGGTGGGATGGAGCCTGCGGAAAGTGCAGTACTTTTTGGCCTCCCGGAGACCAGCTGTCTACATCGATGAGGAAGCCCTGAATCGTGCTGAAGATGATTTCTACCAGAAATTTGGGCATCTGCGTTCCTCATGCAGAGTGCAAGGGTAGAAAAGCAGCAGAGGAGCAGGAAGGTGAAAACTCTTACATTTGAACACCAAGGACTTAGAAATCATGAGTCAGACGCTTGCCTCTCCTCTTCAGATTATAAGCTTGTCATAGAAGTTGTGAGAATTTTGTTAGAAAAGTGCCTTTGAGGATTTTTTATTTGCTTTCTTTAAGCTGATATGATTCATGTTTTCAAGTCTTTTGCCACAAGTATGAGACCTAGAAACTCTGCAAAGGGAAACTAAGATTTTTCTTTTAAGTACTTGCCTACAGGAACTAAGGTTTTAGGGTAGACACTAAATAAGATGTGAGGTGAAATAGAGTTGGCAATATTTTAGTGACAAGAAAGAGAAGGCATTCTCAGAAAAACAGGTACAAATGTTGACTGTATTAAGGCTCAGGTTAGGATGGAGCTGATCACTGTCAAAGCTGCTCAGTTATTTTAGGTGGAGTGTATATAACTGAAGTGTTTTCTGTTAATTTTGTAGAAAGGCCAGAAGGAAACTGATTTTTCAATTCAGTTTCTGAAAGAAAAAGCTAATGTCTAATGCAGCGAACTAAAATTTGGTCTCTTTGCCTGTCTAGTTACTGTTAAATATGGTTATTTACAGCTGTATTCTTCGATGACATTGGGATTATGCTGAGAGGTGGCATGAAGAGAGGAAACGGCTCCACTTGCTGCAGTCTTGGTCTGCTGCAGGGAAGGGCTGTTATTTATTACATTATCCTAGGCTGTGAGATCTCTAAGTCAAAGATACATTTTGCTCTTCTGGTCTATGCAGTGCTGTACGGTGGGCTCCCTAGGTGCCAAGTTGATCTAAGTGGTAACCACCAGGCTAAAATAGGACCTATAGGAACTGTGTGATAAGCCTTTGTGCATGATTGACCCCACAGCCTCCATGCTGTTGACCTAGATGAATTTCTTCACTATAGCAAAAATCTCTGCTTGTGCAAGCAGTGTGTGGATCTTCGCTGATAGAATCATAGAATCATAGAATCAATCATTGAGGTTGGAAGAGACCCTTGGGATCATCGATGTTAGATTCAGCTGCTTGAAGCTAATGTTGGGATGTCTCTGGGGTGAATCAACTCAATGCATACCTCTATAGGAGCAAAGATCAACTCTGAGGAGAATTTCTCAGGAGCTTAGCCTCAGTAGGCTGATCTTACCTTTGTGGATGATCCTTGATGTCTTCCAGTGCTGCTCAGGCCCTTAGCTGAACTAAGTAGTGGCACCAACAGCTTCCAGCCCTGCTCAGGTAAAACCAATTTGCTCTAGGTTAAGTCCAAGAGAGAAGGGAGAGAAGGCATTTCTTAAGGAATAGAGAATTAAGGATGCATAAACATTAAGAAACCTAATTTCTATAGGTTTGCTTTTAGTGAAATCTCTTTTTTCCCCAGCCAGATTGTTCCTTTAAAGACCCAGTCAGTGCCAGAGTAGTTTAGCTGATATATATTATCTGAATACTTAATGAAGAAACTATTAGATACGAACTGTTTGTGGAGAATGTCCAGAATATGTTTTATTTATCCTATACTTCGATCATCTTCAAAAGGAAAAATATTTATTTAAGTTATTATATAGGTGTGGTTTTGATTATGACTTTGTTTCTGATGTTTTGCTTTGAAATAACACTACCTGTTTAGAAAATGTATAAGAAAAGTTCTTTATTAAATAAAAGCATAGTGACAATTCCAGCAGTCCGTTTTGTCCTGTGTCTTTGGCTCTTAGTTTCGTGAATAGCAAAAAGGGTCATGGCTGATATTTCTATATAGGAATGGGACCAACCACTTTAATGGTAACAGCCCATTTCTTGCCTGTTGTGCTGTGTCAGTTTTGATAGGCTCTTGGAAGGAAATTCCAATAAACCAGCCAGCAAAGGTGTGTGGGTGGTATGGCACCTCTGGTATCTCCAAAGATCAAAAAAAAGGGATGTTTCTCCTAGCCTGATGCAGAGAGCAGAGGGAGTGTGTGGGTGCTGCTGTCTGGCTATTGGGCTCTCATGCAACTGTGCAGAGCTGAGCACCCAGAAAGGCCCAGGAGTTACCCCGTTTTGATTGAGTTTAGAGTAAAAATTGTGAGGAGGATGGAATAAGACATAGAGAGTAGAACTCACTTAAGTTTTACATTTCTGTTGAGATATATTTGAAACCCTAAGCTTACAATGTGTTTCCAAGCATCCCCAACAGACAGTCCTTTCCATCAGATACAACTTGTAATATCTATTGGGACAAGCACTTGTTGTTTTAGCCCTTGTTTCACAGGTAGCTATATTTCTTTTTTAGGGCTCTTGGGACTGAACAGCACATAACATGGCACAAACCAGTGGGTCTATGACTAAGTAAGTATAGCCATGCTCTGTCAGCTATTTCCTCATTCTGATTTTATTGGCAATGGAAACAGACTGGTGTTTCATTTGTAGGGCAGGAATTCAAATGCTACAGAAGCCCCACATTTAAGAAAGCCCTAGCAAGGGACAGTTAATTCAATGTGTATTGTCATTTCATTTTGCTTGTCTGCTGAACTGTTGTGGGACTATATCATATACAGATTGCATTAGCCGAGGAACTACATGAAAACAACTTGCCAGCATCATGTTAACAGAGAATGCAAAGGGATCCCATGGCTCACAGTCCCTCTGTACCTATTTGTAGCATCCTTTTTCTCTCATTGCCACCTTCCTGCCTTCCTCAATAAAAGCCACCCTCTCGAGTAACATTCATTCAAAGCCCTCTCTGTTGAATGCAACTAGGAATTTAAATGCTAAAGAGATCATTGCAAGAGGCTACAGCAACAGAAAAAAACACTCATGTAAAAATACTCAATTTCTCCAACTGTATAATTACATGATAAATTTGCATCTAGAGATTATCTATTAGAATTCCAATTTGTAATATGTTCTTATGCTGATTGGATCATTAACTCTTTCCACAGACTAGCCTCTTGATGCAATTTGGATGAAAGGATGAAGGCAGTCTGTTGTTTATATACTTGTATGTTTTCTTGCTACTTTAGTCATAAAATTGCTACAAAATTTAGAGAAGAACAACTGCTATAGAAAGAATTAGAAACAGATAAATAACAATGGTTATTTCAAAGTGGGCTCAAGAAGCCAAACTAATGAACACGCAGTAGTGGGAACCAGGTAGAAATATTTTGATAACTTATCATTGAAAAACATCAGTTGGGGAAAACGCTTTTCTACTGTTATGAGCATTGATATTCTCCGCCCTGTTACAGCAGGTTTTTACCTCTGTTAAATGAAAAAAGAAAATAGAATTTGCTACATGGAACGGGACCATTTATAGCTCCATGTACTTAGAGTATCTCAGTGTCATTATTAGGCCAATCATTAGTATACATATTTTTCCCAGGGCTATGTACATAAAGGAGCTAAACAATCCTAGCTCTCACAAGTGATTTTGTAACAAACAGCACCTTGAGGAATGGGTCAGGCTTTGAGTGTTGTGGTTTCGTGAGTATTTTTCCTCTTGAAATCAGAAAAATACTAATGATAATCTTCTGCATAACATTTTTAGGGAGACAACGCAGCCTGGTGAAAGGAGACTGGGCTGACTGGCATGACTGCTGAATACTTCTTTTTCTCCCTTGCTTCTTGCTTGTTATTTCACACTGAACTTTGTTCCCTTTGGAACTTGTCTGCTCGAGTTGCTCGGGTGGTAAGTTTTCGGTCTTCCCTTTCTGTTTGTGCAGCATCAAGCACAGTGAAGCTCTGGATGTGGCTGGTGCTGCAGGTTTTGTACCAGGTTGTACTCCAGAGCAGCTGAAAAGTCTCACAACTGGCGAGTGAGTTGTGTGTGTTACACGAAACCACGTGCAAAACAATGTCTCTGCTCTGTGGTGGAATGAAAATTTGAGACTGCCAGCCAAGCCCTTGTGGGCAAAAGATAAAGAGAAAAGATAGGCTGTAGGTTGTGCAGGAGCAGGTAATAAAACCCCTATTTAAAACAAGAAGGCAAAAAGTCAGACTTACTTCGTTACCTACTATGATGACCTTTTTGAGTACTATTTTATAAAACCCACTGATTTTACTGGTCTGGAATTGAGAAAAAAATTTTGATTTGAAGTAATCGAGGACATGTGCCATAACTGTATTACCCTGCTGCTTCTTTTATTCTTCATCATTAAATTGCAGTGAGAGATTTCAAACTAATGATAGAGTTAAAAAAAATAAGAATATGATTATTTAAAAAAAATACACTGAAACTGTGTAACAGAAAACTATGAAATAATATTCAGAAGCATAATAACTACTGTACGAGCATATCTTTGGCAAGCAAGCCCTACCTTCTTGAAGGATAATGAACATCAGGCTGCCCTTAGCTAAAATGGAATTGAATTAATGTAGCAGAGGACATGATATAGATGACTGTCTCCGACTCTAACTGTTTATATTCTCAGGGGTAAATCCACAGCTCTGCAGTTATTGCCTTAAAAATATTCTGCTGGAAAAATTTTCCACATGTACATAGCTTAAAGGGAAAGGGGATGCTCTGAGGGCGCAGACTTTGAAATGGTGGAAGTATAAGAATTAATCCTTTTTCTGTTGCTCAGGGACACAACGACATCACCAACAGCAAAACCAAACCATATGAGCTCATAACTCGTCTTCTTCCTAAATTAACAGAGGAAAGCAACTTTTTTCAAGGGTAAGATATTACTGTGTATTAGCATAATTTCATAGTTGTGACATTAGCAACCAAAACACATGTTGTTGGTCATTCAGTTTTGGTAACAGTGAACCTATAGGATATTCATTCTTAATCAAACATGTTTTCCTCTTGCTCCCTGCTTTTCATCCCAAGATGCTTTTTTCCATTCCTGACTAGTTTTTAAACTGTTTTGTCACTAAGAATTACCTTATTTGTAAAGATAAGTAATATGTATTTTATTAAACCTTTTTTATGTATCAAGGCTTGTCTAGGGGGAAGGAAATAAGAACTATCACATCCTGTAAAACAAGGATGGTGACACTGTGAATCTTAGTCCTATAAAATTCTACCCTTTTGTTTGAACATGCTGTCTTATTTGGGAGATTGAATTTATAAAGATTGCAGGATAATGCCTGTGACTTGATAATTACTTCAATGCTGATGTTGTTATATTTACATCAAGGAAAATAGAGGGCCTGTTTATTCATGATACCTCATTCTTGATTTAGATGATGTGAGGAAAAAGCATAAAACAGCTGCCAAGAAAAAATTTCTAATGCTGGGCAGGTTTCTATGGTCTTTACTTAATGTCATTATAACAAAATTTGTTTTGTGGTAATGCA